TTGTAGGTCTAGAATATCCGATCATTCGATATAAAAATTGGTTTTACGTGGGGAATGATGACTCTCTATTTTTATTACCGTGACTGCTCTATATCATACAGTAGTGTGTTAACACGACAGGATAAGGAATATACAGTCCTGGCAGCACTGTTTTTGTGGTATACGTAAAACGGTGCGTGAGAGGGTTAGGCGTTCGACTTGGAGGTTATGTTACTAGCACAGCGCCAGGGTCAACATGCATACACCCCTGTTGCTATAGGTGAGTAGTCGTCGCAATACGATACCGCGTGTCCCAATTAAGATCGTCTAACATTCAATAAGGAAGAAATAACACTCGCGGTTGACACAGGTGGCCGGCTGAGAGTTATTGTATGATTTCTATCTACGTCCAGTTAGTATCTTTGACTAGCAAAGAAACGCAACGCAAGCAATATCTAGAAAAATAATGTCACATTCATTTAAGCATCTGTATATTACTTTAACTGGAGGAAAGTTTGCTTCATTTATTCCTATTATCATAGGTAGTTAAAGATTCAATTACTTAATAATTACTATTATATGTTCTTCTTTTTCAGTTTTCTTGTGCAATCTATAAGACACCAGCAAAATTAGTTGCAGCATTTCGTTCGAATCTTGAACATCCTGCTTTACAGAATGTTCTTTGACAAACTCCAGCAACTCCAAGTGTTTATCTGCCCCGGATCCTTGCCTCTCCAAGTAACGATCAACTCGACACCAGTAAACTGGTATACCATTAAGTACTGGGAATGTATTCAAAAAACAACATCGTATCAATATTACACAACACTATAGCTATGAACCAAAACTTGAACAACGATAAGCAATACACCAGCCACCAGTTAGTCGTTTTGAGGTTGACAAGCGATTTTCAAAAACTCTACAAGCATATCGAAAGCAAAAGCAAATAGCGTCACATTCGCTGAGCGACTTCAAACGATGTCCCTTTTGAACAACTAGAACGTCACCCGAGAGAATTTGTTGCCGTTGGAAGAAAGCCCACGACCAAGAACGAAGTGAAGGCTGTCAGTCTCGGAGGCGGTTGCCTAGATGGTCCAAGTCGAAGTGAAAAAGGAGGATCACCATCCGTGAACTGCCAGGAGTCTGAGCAAGAAATTCACGGATGGCGATCCTCCTGATTTGAAGCATTGAGCGTTGGACCATCTCGATGCACAACTACAAACTACACAGCATTCGGGCGTGTTGAACTGTCATATGCTTGTCTCCACACCTCTGTCAACTGACGATGAAAAGACAAAAATAAGCGGCGGAGTGAAGGGCGCTTGGGGGGAATTAAGAGTGCGCCTTGCACCTTTCATTGTGGATGGATCTCTTTGGAAACCGTATTTCTGGATCACGGGGTGTGTCCCACTGCCTAATTGGTTCATAATTTGATGCAACTTATGCATTATGCTGATAGGCTGTCTTTTGACTCACAGCTTATACCTGTCCTTATTAGCAGCTTTGCAAAAGAGGCAATAAATTTTCTTCAATCGCAAATATCATCAGGACGCTATATTACGAGACAGTCTTTTTACTCATCAATAGAAGTCCTGCAAAATATAACCGTCGCAATCTGCTAATGCTGCATAGCTACCTGCTGCTACTAGTGTGAGAAGGAATGGAGAAGGTTACAAGCAAGACGAGTTATCACGTCAAATATAACACAACAGTACTGTAGTACAATACAATTCATTTATTTGTTAATTCGAGTTATTTTTCTACCAGATCTTTTCCTCTTAAGAAGGTTCACTGCAACACTCTACAACCTTCCCATATTCCAAATTATGTTTAATCACCTGAAGCGTTTCGCTATTTGAGAATATCTATTTGTTCAAATTTTAATTGGAATCTTTTTTGCAGGTAAGGATTCAATCTATGCTCTACACTTCATGGAGCAGCCTTCAGTATAGATTGTAAGTAGTTTCAAAAATGTTTTTTGTATGTTATATGGCGCATATCACGAAAAACCATCTCATTCATTTCCGTCGGTCTATCGGTCTGTATGTCGGTCTGTCTGCTTTTCCTTGGCCGTTTATAGCATGGAAAGTATCGCTCGATCTTATTTATTCATTTATCAACGAGCGACTGCCCAATTAAAGTACAGCAAATGTGTGGGGACTACCGACTAATTCTGTGAGCCAGATTGACTGACTTGACCCATGTAATTCATTTACTATATATGTGAGGGGCTAGCTCGTGCATAATCCTTTACGAGCCGATGACCGCTCAAGTGCAAACTAAACCTACTTTTCTTGATTCATCCAAAAAGTATTTCATGTATTTGAAACCTGCGATCTCTGCTACGGTAGAAACCTTAATCCACCCTTGTATTGACCACTCTTTATAGAACACCTCTAACTGCTAATTCGCAGCACATCATCCTCAATTCAACGATAACGAGACGACGCTAACACCACCCACTTCAGAATTTCCTCCATCCTCATCATCCGCGAAGTGCGCGCGGTGCGGCATCAGCCAAATTTTAATAAAGTGTATCTTTGCAGAGTCGCAAAACGGGAGCAACCATCCGCCCCGGCAACTAAACTCCAATTTTCCGCACTCCTCTCACTCATTTTTCCCCTAACTAAATTGAAATTAGCCGCTGGAGTAATCTCAAGCATGCCTTGGCTTCCGGAAACGCCACCGATGTCGGTTTCTTAGCCCGAGAGACTATACTTATTTGACAATTCTGCATCTTTTAGGTTCACTGTCGGAACTTGAAACGGGAATACAATACATATACAAACAGCCTCCTGCATAAATGCTACCGAAATTATGATTTTGATCCACATTCACTAGATTTAGCTGGTTCCTTGCGCCAGATCCTGGAAATACTTTGCTTTGTAGATTCTGTACCTTTTAAAAAGGCGTGCTTTAGGACTCTGTCTTCAAACAAAACCAAAATGTTTTTTTAAAATAACCTTGTTATATGATCAAAACGTACATGTACGTTAGTAATGTAATATGAATAATATTCTCCTAGCTCTCAGCTATAACCATATCCTTCAAATAAAACTTTCAGTGGTCCTTTGACGCAATTGCCGAAATGTTCCACTTCAGGTCATTAATTGCATGCGAATTGATTGAATAGACTTTGTCCTTGAGAAATTCTCACTAACTTCGATTATCATTGAGTAATCTCAGAGACCGAAGCTTCGAGTTGCAGAAGGAACCTTTTAGAATTCCTACCCGTCAACGCTTTCTATCGAGTTTTCGATCTTATGTAGTGAACTCGGCAACTGTAAACAGTTTCAAAAACAGGTATGATAGACACCGCAGTGCGTAACACATGTTCTTCTTTTCTGTGTATCTCCTTCATATACAGGCTGCTCCTTAATGATATGCTAATATTTAAGGGTGTGAATCTACATGAAAAAATAATGTTAGTTTGCTTTATAAACTATGGTCCAAGTGTTTACAAAAACTCGAGGTGTTGAAGTTTTAGGAAAAAATGGAAATTAATTAATATTTTCAGAACCGCTTCAGATATTTCACTGATATTTAGTACGTAGTGAAAGCTATTAAGGTTGCGTATTTTTCAATGCAAAAATCATTTTTAGCTTCAACAGTGGCGTGCGTACGGGAATTGACTTGGTAAAAGATGGTACGCCATTGTTTTTTTGCCAAACAAAAATTATTTTTGAATTCCCCGTTCAATTTAAAACAACTGATTTTTCCCGAATTATTTTCCTTCATTGCTAAATTTTTGAGTAGAAAAATAAAAACAGTTCTATTGTCTAACTTGCAATATTATCAATTTAATTGGAAAAATTAAACACATTAGGGGTAATAAACAACAACAACTGACAACATAAACATAACACTAAAACCAACGAAATGATTACAAAAATTGTTGAAAATGGCTCCCTTCACTTAGGATGCATGCTTCCGCCCTCCTTCTCATGGAATTGCGCACTCGTTGAAATATCCCTGGAGTTTTTTTTATATCACAAGCTGCAACTATTGTTTCTCTTAATTACTCTACAGTGCTAATGGGACTTATGTACACTAGTGTCTTAAGATAGCCCCACAAAGAGCAATCTAAACTGTTGGGGTCTGGGGACCTTGGTGGCCATTCTTGGGGCCCACCGCGGCCAATCCAACGATTTGGATAAACAGTTTTTAAATAATTACGAACTGCTACACTGAAATGCGCTTGTGATTTTTTGAATAAACGTCAAAGTTTATGTCAAAAAACATCACTTCAAAAAAACATAACTACAGCCTTTCTAGTTAACTCATAGATCCAAAAATAATCCGCCATCGGTCGAATTACTTTGATGAATTTGATGACCTCGATTTCCTTGCAAGATTTCGTCTTAGAAAAAAGAGTGTAGAAGCTCTCCTGGACGAAGTCTATGAAGATTTAGTATATCCTACAAGCAGGTAGATGTATATATTATTGTTTATTTCCATATTTTTACATGACTTTGTCATTCCAGGAATAACTGCTTAACGCCCCAACAGCAGCTGTTGTTAGCTCTGAGCAATGGAAGTTTTTTTTACTGTTGCTGGACATTTTGCTGGGGTTTCCAAATCAACTGCATCCAAAACAGTCCGAAGATTCTTAAAAGTACTAACGAGTAAAATAAGTAATTACATAAAAATGCCGAACACTCTTGGGGCTTTTGCCAGGGCAAAGCAATCCTTTTATAAATAACATAGCTAGGTTTCCTCGATGCATAGGTGCCATTGACTGCACGCATATAAAAATTGCTTCTCCCGGAGGAAGCCATGCAGAGCTCGTCATAAATCGAAAGCAGTTTTTTTTCACTGAACTGTTTCTGACGCAGATTCATACATTTTCGGAAATTCTCAGCTCTGCAGACAATTTGAATCAGGTCACTTTGGAAACTCTTTGTTGGCTGGTGACAAAGGTTATTCTATTAAACGCCATTTGATGACAACATTAAATACAACTACAACTCCTGCTGAAGAATTATACAATGGATCTATCATTCGTAGTCGCAATGTTATAGAGAGATGGAGTTTGGAAAAGAAGATTTCTATGGCTAGCTATGGGTCTCAGAGTTCATCTAGAGACAGCTCAAGCAGTTACTCTAGGAACAGCAGTGCTACATACTATTGCTTGTCCTAACGATGAAGCTATGTCCCCTATAAGTCCTGAACAGGAAAATGGTATTAACATGATTCATGTCGATAATGAGAATACAGATCCTGTAGATATTTGGTTGCCACAAAATGCAATAAACAATGTTAGAACTCACCTTATTAATAATTATTTTGCAAATTTGTAAATCGATTCAATACATTCACTGATGCTCAGTGAATGACTCGATACTAGTTGAAAGTTGTTTAGTATAAGATCTGTGATAATCCATGGCAAGTGGATAAGAGTCGTGGCCAAAATTGTTGTTGCCCAAAAAAGGCGTACACGGCATTTGGAAATAGATGTCCCAAGCCTCAAAATGGGCACACGGTCGATCTTTTTGCACACCTAAAGTTTTCGCCATAGCTCTCATCTACTTGACATATGAATTATCCCCAATTTATTGTAACTGCAGAATGAAAATAAACATGATTTTCTGAAGACAGTTTATTATTAGACTAACATATTATCCTGAAAAATGCGAAATACACAAAAAAATAGTGAAAGTGAAAATATTCCAGAAATTAACAAAATAAATCCTTTTTTTTCTACTTATCCAATGCATTGATCTGTAAATCTAACAGCTGAACTTTTTTTTATGTATATCCATTTTTTTATTGTGTTCTTGGATGAATTTTTCTTTTTCTAGTTTCTAGTTTCCATTAGTAGATAGTTAACAGAAATACATCTTTTATTTTGTACCGTTTTCGTACATGATAGCTTTGTAGTTTTGGGCCTCTTCAGTTGTTGGGGAGTATAGGAGCTCCATTTCCCATTATTGAAGACCACTTCACTGTCATCACAGTTATTTGCATCAGGAACTAAAAAAATGAATAATTAAAAAAATGCTTCAATAAACAGCAATGAGGCTTACCATGTTCAGTAACCAGCTCTTCTTGGTCACTACAGTCATCATCATAATTGTTGGTCAAACCTTCCAATTGTGGTCCCATTATTTCTTGTAATTGTGTATCAATCAGATCGAATGCTTGCAATTGGCATGAACCTCCCCATGTCTTGATTATATTGCTTTTGTTTGTAGCAAATTTGCTTATTGTTTTTTTCTTTAGATTGAAATATTTATCTTGTAGAGTTTTTGCCTCTCAGTGGCACGCTGTTAGAGCTTGGAATTCTTGCTCGATGCTCTGCCATACTGAACTTTTCTGTTTCCACGTAACTGTGCCACTTGTTTTACTCTCTATTACATCTTTATTTTTGCTCACCAATGATATTAGCATCATTTCCTCATTCTTCAAGAAATTTTGAGCTCTCTTTTTGATCTCTTTCTTCATGCTAGAAAACAGTTTTTGAGAAGTTTTAGTAACAAGAATAGAGGTATTGTAAATCCCCTTTACTTTTGGATTGTAGATTATAGGAGTGATGTTAAAAAAGGTGGAAAATACGGTATTCAGCAGATATTTACAACTTAATCGTTTTTTGACCTTAGTATGGTTCATTAGACATTGCATTTGCAACCTTTTTTATCACCATTTATATAATGCCGTCTATAGGGTCTACTACTAAACATTTGTACGAGCAATGTTTGAAAAAACTTACCTTACTTGACGAAGGTTTTATGTTTTATTCGTTTTTAATAAAATTTCCGGATTTCGATTTTGGCTATTTTAAAAAATTTTAATTCAATCGAACTGTCATGTATGACACGGGACACAGATGCCAAGCGCACAAAACGCATATAACACGATATCTAAGAACCGCAGATACAGAGCTGTAACATAAATTATATGTTGAACTTCTGGTAAGTTAACTGACGCTGTCAAAATACTTCAAAAACGCGTTTGCAAGTAACTTCCTGGCGATAGTCAACTAACCAAAAAGTTAACTTGCGATTGAAAAACCGGGCCTTAGGGGTCTACCTTCAGATGTTCTTTTTCGGGCAGAACCAGTTTTAACAAGACGACGATGAATATTCGTAAAGGTCCAACTATCTGGAAAAGCACGATCGGGAAATTTCTGGTGATAAATCCGTCTGGCTTGGTCACCATTACCGTCGGCAAGGCCATATACGTAATGCATTTCCGTCATTTCTGCATTTGAGTAAATCACCACTATTAACAAGATTGTAAATACTAAATAATGGGAAAGATGTCCCAGCGAACAGATTTGAATAACAGAGACTAGTCAGATCTCAAAAGCCAGTGACATATTCCAGAGCAACTAGATATTTATTGCTAAATTGCATTCTTCATTTATTACATTAATTTTGAATCCAATTCAAGAGAGATCATTTGTATTAAATTGAACGGGGAATTCAAAAATAATTTTCATTTGGCACAAAATCATTGGTGTACCATATTTTACGCACGCCACTGTTAGAGCTTAACATTATTTTTGTATTGAAAAATATGCAACTTTATTAACTTTCACTACATACTAAATATCAGTGAAATATCTGAAGCGGTTCTGAAAATATTAATTAATTTCCATTTTCTTCGTAAGACTTCAACACCCCGAGTTTTTGTAAGGAAACATTTTTGGACCATAGTTTATAAAGCAAACTAACATTAATTTTTCATGTAGAGTCACTTCCTTAAATATTCGCGTATCATTAAGGAACACCCTGTATAGGATTCTCCAGTTGTGCATTGCATTTGTCTGTACACTATCAAGTATTACGTGTTGAAGCTTATAGTGTTTGTACTCAACTCAAATTTGTTATTTATTATTATTTAAGCTTGTGAAAAGCACTCCTCCTGGTGTCAAAAGAGCAATTTGTGGTGAAAATTGAACCACCACCTCGCTAGGGTAAGCTCGGATCCCCTCATTCAAGGTAAGATCAAACTTAGTCTGCATTGACCAAAATCTAGACTAACCGTAAAGTGCTTTTTAAAGAAGCCTTCGATCTACTTATTTTTGACTGGATCAAGCTAGCTGATTCAATATTGGGGTGATGAAGCTGATTCATATATTTTAGCATGAAAATGACAGTTGAACATTTGGAACATTTTGTGGGTGGTGATACCACATTTTGACGCTCCTGATGTGTACTCCTTATGCCAAATATATAGAGTCACTGTCTTTCAAAATGAGGGACTGACGGGTTGTCAAAGTGAGGAGTGTTTGTACATCGAATCGTTTATATATGTTTTATCATAAGCATTGATATAACAACCAACACAACGTTATATCAACGCTTTTTTGTGTGCAAATAACGATTCGAACAGATAAAATTTACTGATATTTTTTTTTAAATCATGCGTTCCATATTTTACATTCGAGTAGACTATTTTATAACATACTCCAGCATTTTGGTGACTGGTTGTTGAGATAGAAGCGATTCAATGCAATGGTCTAAGGTTATAAAGTACTCGCAAGTGACTTTGAAATTATGTATGGTCCCCAGTCCATCTGATAAAATGTCCCAAGATGGCGCCCAACCGCAACCTTGAAACTGTCACTTTTACGCTCAAATGAATATTATTCATGCATCAATTTCATTCTCAAATTTTAACATGGCAACCTGAGCCATTTAAAAGGAGGCCATTTTGGAAAGCGCGGTACATAACGAGTATACAACAATGTGGGATATTCAAAAAATAATTTTACGGTAGAGCTGTTATAGAATAGGATGTTACACCAAGATCAAAGGACCGACTTTGGCTGACGCATATGTATGTAATTTGTGTACATAATAGGAAGAAACTAAGATGGATAAAAATTAAAATGTAGGCTTAAAGTGTGAATAGTCAGTGACCCAGGCAGATAGATTCGCTATTAACATTTTATAGTTATCCCTCTTACTACCTACGCCATTGGGCGAGGAAGTATTGTAATTCGAAAAATGAGATATTCTGTTATTTGAATGTCATAAGACATGTACATCACTATTTTTTGTCGGTTTGTCCGTCTGTCGGTCTGCATGTTTGTCTGTCCGCTAATCCTTGGCCACTCTATAGCTTGAAAAATATTGCTCTGATTTGGATAAAATTTTCACACAAGGTTACTACTATGCCAAGGACGAAACATCGTTCTGCATATTTCACACATCATAGGTCTCCCGACGCACTTGTCATTAAAACTTTAAGTGATAAATGTTTTTGATATGCGGGTCCTTCTGCTATCTGTGCTCAGTGCCCCGCGTAACGGTCTGCTTGATTGTTCTTCTCGTGCTTCTTTGCACAATGCATAATATACACTGAAGAAGGTTTAATGCTATTCAGTGACAACACGGTGACTTGTGTGGTTGTCAGCGGCCATTTGGGTATTTTTTTAGAGTGCTACATGGCTGCCAGATTGTGCATTAATATCCCGCAACGTTGCCAGCTCTACATATAAATCTGAGATTGCTATACTTTTATATATAGAAATTTGGTGGGATACGGAAGACCTTATAACACCATGTGTTATTAACATTTTGCGCTATCTTGACGAATAAATGCTGTTCCGTATGTTAAAATAGCAAGGTCAATAACACAAGCTGTTATAAGATCACTCTACTTACTAATATGGAAAGGTTCAGAAGTAAAACATAAATTACAAATACCTAAATATATGATATAAGTCTCACATATTGTTTTACAGACAAATCACTATTAACATCATTATGGTCCAGAAGTTTTTATTCCCCAGCCTTTGTTGGCACCTGCATAAATCAAAAAATAGGAAAAAATTGAATTGTGTTGATATCTTACTACAATCCACAGATTTATTTTTTTATTAGAACGATCATATTATTGTCCATGGGTACCCACAGGAATTTTGATCATCATCAAGGGATAACTTTTTGTGAAATTGTACCTGCCCCCAAAATTTTTTGATGAACAGAGGTAGCAATTTCCTCAGGGGGGGGGGGGGACAAATCCTAAAAAATCTCAAAGTTGTACACAAAAGCATACTAAATATGCAAATTTTAATGTCAAAGCCGATTCCCAGACGAGACCATGGCCTCCCTGACACCGCCCTGTGGGCGCCCATGTTATTGTTCAATATTAACATATGCCTTCGATTTCATTGCAATTACAGTGAGCTTTGCATATCAACCGTGCTGCTCTGAAAATAGCTGATTCAAAACGAAGTATGGAAACTAATTTGGACAAAAAGCAGTACAAATCATCACTGGTTGTCAAGTCATATAAAAACTTACAAATGCTATAGTCTGCAAAAATCCTTCAGAGCTTTTTTTTGGTTAGGTCAGAAGTAATCTCCGAACTTCTGATAATTCTCAGGACCGCAGGGGTTGAAAGCGGCAGCTGTTGAGCTTTTCGTAGCGCTCCACTGTTCAAAAAGTGATGTGGAGATACAAACAGGTACGATCTTCAAATATTACATTCCTCAAATGAGTAACCGCTGCGTCTTTGATGTTTCTCAGGATCTGCCAGAAGCCTAGCTACTGACTTGGATCACCTTAAAAAAAGAAACAGTTTTGAGTTGGAGCTTGACTATATTACATCTTTGTGTGTGTTTACAAAACACAGAGCACAGGAAGAAACCCGCCGGAAATATAAATCTGACCAATCAGCAACGTCAGTTGTGAATAAGCCGCTATTTTTTGAGGGTGCGACATGGTTGCCATATTGTGTCCCAGCAACACTGCTTTGTTTCCCATCCGCCCGTACGAGTTTCAACCCCCTGCTTCTTTGAGCGCTGCTGTGCCTGACGGTACGGGAAGGGGCGACGTTGCCAGATGGTCGGTAGCAATAGAGCGGGAAAGGATGTCTGTGTATGCGCCTGTTTGACTGGCTTGATCGGGCTGATTTTTCTATTGTACAACTATTTTTTTTAAGTGAATTTACCTTGGGATGAATCCTTCATGAACTGATGACGGCGTTGCGTCTAAAGTCAACCTACTTGACGCCAATTTTTTTGGATAACTGACTATCTCTCTGGCTATCAAGGAAGGGCCTCATCTGTGTATAGTAAGGGTGACAGAGAGTCGCCCCCTTTTGCCGTGTTTGATCCAGAAACCCCGAGGGCACTTCAGCAGCAGCACCAGGCAAAAGTAGAGCGAAGCGGGGCGAGTTTAATGAGGGCGAGATCCCCTGCTCTAGTGTCTAATAATTCCAGCCTATGAGGTGACGTTGCGGGGCCGACGCCCGGTGGAGTCAAGTGGTTGAGCTTGGGACACAATGATCAGATTTTTCAGTAGAGCTATGAGGTAGGATCGATATTGCGATCCCCATCCATGTTCAGTTTTGTTAGAGTAACAAAAATGTTCTAGCCTAATGGAAAAATCAAGTGATTTATCAGGTAACCAAATAAGTTGGTGCGGTTGCTGTATATCGCACATTGCCATGGATGTTGTTGATCGATAGCGATTGTTTGTTACCTGTTGTCACTTTAGTATGAATCCTCCTTTTCTCAAAAACATAAAGAGTTGCTGAAACTTGTTACATACCTGGTTTTCATAATTGAGAATGGCGACGAATAAAACAGTAATTCGAAATGGTTTACTGTATGAGTACAAACTTGGTACAAAAGCTGCAGCGACGGCGCGAAAAATATATACCGCATTCGGAGATGATGCCGCTAGTGATCGAGCAGCACAGAAGTGGTTCAAAAAGTGTCAATCGGAAGATCTCAGTTTGAGCGATGAACCGCGCTCAGGGAGACCAAAAATCATTAACAACGAAGATCTTCGACAGGTTGTGGTCGCAAATTCCAGGAGAAAGTGCCAAGAACTTGCAGAAATGTTCAGAGTGAGTCCCGAAACTATTCGTTTGCATTTTTATCAGCTAGGCAAGACGTGGAAGTTAAGCAAATGGGTCCCACATGAACTAACAAATGATAACAAATTAAGTCGTCTACCATTTGTTCAGCAAACATTTCACGCAACGCTAATGGACCATTTCTTAATCGGTTATTAACCTGTGACGAAAAATGGATCTTGTATTCGAATTCTAAGCGTTAGTATCATTGGTTGTCGCCTACTGATTCGGTACCACACACGCCCAAGGCTTCCTTGCACCCAAACAACGTTTTGTTGTGTGTTTGGTGGACAGCAACTGGAATTGTCCATTATGAGTTTTTGGAAAGGGATCAAACCATCACTGCTAACTTGTATTGTGAGTAGCTTCAACGAGTACAAGCAGCACTCGAAACAGCCTTCTTTGATCAATCGGAAGGAAGTGATATTCTTACAGGATACGGCCAAGGCTCATACCGCAAAAGTGACCGCGATAAAAATTTCTGAACTCGGCTGGGAAACGTTACCGCACCCGCCATATTCTCCCGACATTTCGCCCAGTGATTATCACCTTTTTTTGTCTCTTGAGAACTGTATGAGGCACCGATAGTTCACAACTTGCGGTGGTGTTATAAATGCAGTCCGCCAATTTCTTTACTCCAAATCCAGGGAGTTCTACAATACCGGCATACAAAAATTAGTTCCACGTTGGCAAAACGCCATTGAATGTGATGGTAATTACTTCGATGACTAAATAGTGTCTTGTTGTTTCTTAATAACAATTTATATTTTTCTACTAATAACCACACGAACTTATAGGGTAAACCGGTGAAATACGCCTCACCGGGGAATACGCCCCAGTGTCACCGTAACAAATTACGTCCGGCAGCAGTTACCTTAGCCACCGCCATTACGTTGCTGTCATACTCCAGAAAGTCGGCCGTGTGTGTTTATGCCAATTTATTGCGTTTTATTTGAAAAAAATATGCATTACTGTCATCTAGAGCCCATAAAATTTTAAGGTATGTAATATTTTTGTTTTATTTTAGAATGTCTTGCAAAATTTTTATAGTTTTGGGATCACTTTAGACAAACACCATTTCTAACCTATAAATTGCGCCAATTCCGCCTCGGTTTGCATTTCATGTTAGCTTGATAACCGGTGGGGCGTATTCCCCCGCGTTTCGGAAATACGCCCCAGTAAAATTCGTGTAAAACGCCCCACCCAATGGTGTGAGTTTTAGTTAATTTAGGTACTTTTGGTTTACAGAATATGGGTAGAGTATATGTTCGCAAAACCACCCGTGCTTCATTTAGTGAAGAAGCATTGGCAGAGGCTATGCAAAAGGTAATTTCAAGAGAAATGGGCACAAATGAAGCAAGTAGAGCGTATGGGATTTCATCTCGTACTTTACGAAGGCATTTGATCGCCAAGTCTTCAAAAGTACGCTTAGGCCGTTGTCCAGAAATAGGAATAGAACACGAAAGAAGGCTGGTCTTACATATAAAGGCCCTTGAAAGAGTTGGCTTTGCACCAGATGCTACTTCTGTTAAAAAAATGGCATTTTCATTTGCAGAGAAGCTTCATTTAAATCACCGATTTTCCAGAGAAGCCAAATCAGCTGGGGATGATTGGTTTCAAGGGTTTTTGCGACGTAATAGAGAGCTTAGTATCAGAAAATCAGAAGGGCTCTCACTAGCTAGGGCAACAGGAATGAACAGAACAGATGTTAGCAATTTTTTTACTCTTTTGCGCGATGTCATCATAAAAAATAACTTGCTTAATAAACCAGATAAAATATTCAATGTCGATGAGACAGGCATTCAGATTAACAACAAGCCTGGGAAAGTAGTAGCAACTAAAGGGACAAAAGATGTTTATTCATTGACAACATCAGAAAGAGGAGAAAATATTTCCTTAGTTTCAGGCTGCAACGCAGAAGGTTACTTTTTGCCACCTGTTTTAATATTTAAAGGAAAGAACAAAAAAGATGAATTTTTGGATGGTCTTCCTCCCGGATCCGGTGTGCTAATGAATCCAAAATCATCCTACATTAATTCAGAATTATTCCTAAAATGGTTTAAAGATTACTTTTTGCCAAAAAAAGGCAATGGGAAAGCCTTATTAATATTGGACGGGCACGCATCCCATTGTAATGCTATTGAGCTATTAGATTTAGCTAATGAAAATGAAGTAGTTATTTTGTGTCTCCCCAGTCATACGACACAAGCTCTTCAACCCTTGGACAGGTCTTTTTTTAAGCCACTTAAAACTTATTTCTTTCAAGAAGCAAAAAACTGGATGATTCAAAATAAAAATAGAAAGCTATCCAGAATAAATATTTCGAGATTAATTGGGAATGCATGGGGAAAAGCGGCAACCGTCGCGAATGCCACATCTGGGTTCAGAGCTTGTGGTATTTATCCATACAATCCTCAGGCCATTCCAGAACATTTTTTCTCCATTTCGGACGCCAGTATCTCAGCCGCTAGCGCAAATAAAGCTCTTCCTTCAACATCAAATCATTCTAATTTAACTCCAGGGCCAAATAAAGCTCAACCTTCTACTTCCTTCTCTCCTGGACATACAAACATGGGTGTTTCTGATATGTCTACCGATTCTCAAACCTCCAACGAAGCCTCAGAAGTTTCATTAAATTTAGAAGAAAAAGAAACTCCTTCAAAATTTTTAAGAGAAGATAACCCAATTCCTCTAATACCTAATACAATTCCGAAAAGGAAACAACATGCTTTAGAACTGACGTCTCCTGAAAATCGGGTTAAAAGACGAGTATTCTCAGAGAAAAAAAAACAAGCTCAAGATAAAAAAGACAAACGAAAAAAGCCGAGCGAAAATGAGAAAAAAATTAGGAGGAAAGCCTGCGTTAAACAAGTTAAAAGAAAACAAAATGTATCAAGTTCGTCTTCGTCGGAAACTGAACCACATTTTAGCTCCTCTGAAGACTTATCTGATGACACTGATGATTACTGCCTTGAATGTCGCGAATACTACTACACCACCAAATCTAAGGTTGACTGGATTCAATGTGAAGCATGTAGTAAATGGTTACATGAAACCTGCACGAACCACACAAACATGTGTAATCTTTGTGCCACGAAAAAACGTTAATTTTCTACTAGGGGCGTATTTCACAAGTTTCGGGCAAATACGCCCCAAATGCTTTTTTTTTAAGTTTGGTTGTTTGTAACTTTTCTTAACCTTAGTGAGAAATTATGTTTATATTAGAGAAAAACGATGTTTAGTTGCTTTGTTTTTGTATTAATGAATAAAAAAATTGGTTTATTATGTTGGTGATTTCCATTTTCCAAAATGTGGGGCGTATTTCACCGGTCTACCCTATGGTTACCTGATAGTATTACACGTATATTAATATTAATTCATTCCATTAACTAATCCATGTGCATCGGAGTAATAGCTTAAATGGACATAGTGAATTGGTAGGATGCATGTACCGAATCCTTTCAATATAATAAATATTTTAAAAGTTCTAAATTCAGTTTGTTCGGATATACAGGGTGATTTTCTAAACAGGCCAGATATTTAATATCACATATCTCAGGCACTATTAAGCCGATTTTATTGAAATTTCGCCGAATAGCAAGGTTGTCTAGAAGTAAAGTAAAACTAGTTGGACAGCAAAAAATCTAGGACTGAATCGATTTTTTAATTTTTTTCTGGTTCAGCAAAATCAACACCTTTTAAGCTGGAGATTAAAATGCTTAGCCATGTACAAAAAAATCAATGGTGCTTACCAAGTACTTACATATAAATTAAAAAAAATCATTTTCAGAAATAAGCTTTTATTTAGCAGTTTTATATAATTTTGATATATTAAATTGATAGCTTTAAGCTTTCTAACTCAAAGCCAGCTGTGGTAATTATAAACACTAATTTGGGGAGTCGCCACGTTGAATTTGGAATGACTGCCCTTTGCCTATTGCGTTTCTTTCATCTTTGAAAAGTGTAAATTGACATTTTCTGGCATCCACCATATTCGATTCAAAATGGCGGCAGTTAATTCATTTTGCAATGTCACGCTAACCAAATGTGTACGAAAACTCAGCTCGATTGTTCAATGTTCACTATTTCAAAATTCATCTCCAAGAGTTGTCCCATACTATCACACCGACATACTAACAAAGAGACCAAACCAGGTAAACGTTCCTGCAAATAGACAAATAGATTGCTTTCGCGTTTTTTGGTTTTCTAGTTAAGCATTTTAGTTCATTCGATTATTCTTATGTTTATTAATTCTTATATCACAAAATTCATAATTCCAAACGTTACCAACCTGATTTTATCAGCATTTTACAAAGTAAAGAATTGTACGAAGGATATTTTTGAAACTTTCCAGGGCCGGACTCAGTTTTTTCCATTTTTAAGTACAATGCCTTTTAAGTCGAACACTGAATTTATTATTTCGCTGAAGAAGAGCAAGGAATGATGTAAATGATTCGCACAGTTATTAATGTTATGCAACCTATTCACTTTTTTCGGTAATTCTTTAAAGGTTTACAAATACTGAGTGCATTTCACTTTGCCTAAAAGAGGAACGGCATTTAGTAACCAAATCCGCTAAGCTTAATCTTTCTAACCAACTTGGAGTGAAGCTAGAAATCAACAAAAAAGGAATAGTAAATCAAATATAGGATTTTAGTGAGGGCATACTATGCTGAAAATGCTAAGTCGTATTGGGTTCCACATTTCCATTAAAATTTTTAAATGGTCTGGAGACTCAAATTCGTTGTATCTGCATTTCTCTGTGAAACAGAACTCATTTTGTTGGCAGATATCAATTGGTAGATCTAAATTACTGAAAAAAAAAATTATCAGTCTTCTCTTTCATTTATTTGACTTGCAGGGCGATGCTCCGCATCAAATATGAGGAGAAAACACTGAATCCTAGTCCACAATACCAAGCATTATTATGTAAAATGTTTATTAAATCAATTTGGTAACATTAGAAATTTAGACTTTTGTGTTACATACTCCGATAGAAATAATATATTTGAATTGCTAAGAAGTTTCAACTAAAAGCACCGTTCATTGGCATTTTTTATACTTAATCAAACAATTCAGTATTCTGTTAAGAAGGTGTTGACTCAAGTAGAAAACAGAAAAGTTAATTAAATCAAGTCCTGTCCTGAATTCTTCAACCGTCCGACAAGTCTTGCAAAGTTCTATTAAATAGTGCCTCAGATGTGGTATTAAATCGTTGGCGTGTTTAAATAAATCTCTGTGTATATTCGGAAAATGATTTTAGATTGTCAGATATAGAAAGGCCTCTGCCCAAACTACCTGACATTCAAACCCAGAACACCCTGTATGTTAGTGCAAAGCGGTTTTGACCCACAGAAGCGGTTACACCAAAAGGATCCTTATGGTGGCCGGTATGCCTCTAAATTTCATGATTCATTCATTCATTCCACCAAAAGGAACTACAGACGAAATCATCGAATCAAATAGCAAGCTTTCTCGTAGTGGCCATAAGCACGAAAACGGAAATCGAAGACAGTATTTCTGCGGTCCATCCACCAGATGTTAAAATGTCACTGTTACTGGTAAAAAGAAAAAACTAGGATTTAATCCCCAAACGACCCTTGCAAATTATTTGAAAGGAGAATGTAGACAGTAATATAATAATGATTTTAGCGAATTTGGCACAGTTTTTTTGTGAACCATTTGTATTCTTGAAGTGTTTGCCTGCCGTTTCAATCAAAAAAGTTAGGGTAGAGCGAAAGTGAGATTATAGCGATGTATAGAAAAGACGGATCCAGTCTACTGGATGTGATTGTCGTTCAGATCCGTGAGTATCTTTTTGAGTCCATAAGCCGATCAAACAGTTACATTGATAGTACTGCATGTCTACTTCTACAGAGTGGATAAACTTGAAATCGTCTTTTAGGAGTTCAGCATTTTTTACAAGTTATTATATCTGTTACATCGTTTAAATAATTTGAATAATTTCAAACTCAAGTCATGTCCACATAGAAAAAACCCAGTAAACATGTGTCTCTATATTTTGGAATTCCTGAATTGAATTTTGCTTTTAATTTTTCCCAGGAAGCTATCAAAAAAGCAAGCAAATCAGGAGGTAAACGCAACCAACAAAACTGCTTCTTAAAATAGGAAAAACGATTTATGAAATGAGGATGAGATAGTAATATTTTATCTGCGGAATAAGGATTCAAGATTGTCACAATAATTCAGTAGATGGATATACGGCAGCGATAGGATCGACATGAAGTTGCGTTTATTGAGTTTTTCTATCTTGTAGACTGAAGTTGCACCTATTATCTAGAATTATTCACCCTACTATTGAAGTGAGTAGACTGCATATTGTGGAACTTTGTTTAATTATCTTTCGTCTGTTGTATGCATTTATTTCTTAATATTAAGCTCAAATTTCTGAGCAGCCATTGCAGATATAGAATCACAAGTTCAAAGATTTTCTGCCAGTTTCTACCGACAGGATACTCTGTTAATCTATCATTAATGCTTCTGGAGGCATCTTTGTACAAGTTGCCTAATTGAATAATTATATTTATAAATACATGGAGGAAAAAGCAATCTACAACTAATGCGTGCTCTTCACGCTTCTGAGATATTCATCGGCAATCTCAAATTTTATTCGAAACAAGATTTATGGATAACGCTTTTCGTAGAAAAAATGTGTTTCTTTGTTTGACATCCCATAAATCTCGTCAGCGGGACAATATGAAACAGGATATTTGCCAAGTTATTTCCGGAAATAGAGGAGGTACATAAATTTGAGGCAGGTATGTTTTGGAATATTCGTTATCAAGGAACTCGCAATTGTTTATTTAACGATTGAATTGTGCCTGAAGGATTCAGGAGTAAGACGCAGAGGAATTTGATGTTAATCCAACGGCTGAGCATAACTGGTAATATTGATCAGCCTATTCGCAAAACTGGTTTAATCACCCACGTTACAAGAAATTCCTATCGGTGTGTTATCTGCCATCAAACATTTAGGTTTTTCTTTGTTCATTGTGGATTCAGAAACTTATTGCAGCAAGCACCTACCAGTTTATTGCTGAAGATATATGGAATTTGTGGTGATATTTGCTTACAAATACATGTACAGTAATAGACAAACGTATATAGACAAATATGAAAATTTACCTAAATACCTTTACAAAACGAATTCATACTTCACTGCTCCATAAACAAATGCGTTATTAGTAGAAAAACTAAATTCCTTGTTTTTACATTATCTGCAATGAACACAATACAAGTCTGAATATAATCACGTTTTTATGAGGGACAAAAATATGTAGACAAATTCTTTTCAACATTAGTTTAGTACAGTTTCGTGTCAACAGAGGATTTGTTTGTGTTCATCAAGTATTGTGGAATAAGTTGAGTGATTTTAAGACCATGTTGCGTGGTCTAGAAATTTCTTTCGATATGAAAACTAAGAGTATTGAGTTATACAAAGATGGTCAACGTCAAGTCGACATTGCCAAAAATTTGAAGCTGAAGCGTAAAGCAGTTTGAGCAATATTGTACAAATATACACAAAAAGGAATATTGGAAGCCTCTAAGAAAAGTGGTCGGCCAGGAAAACTAAATGCTAGATCAGTTAGATTAATAAAGGTAATTTCATCCAAAGATCCGTTTGAACCCCAAGACAAATAAAAGTCGAAATCCAGACAAAAGGAATTATCAGTGTTTCTAGGAAAACTACAAGTAGAAGATTAAATGATTTGAAGTTATTTGCACGTCGACCGAGTAAGAAGCCGCTAATCTCGAGGAAAAACCGTAAGGACCGATTACAATTTGCTCGGTTGCATCTTGATTGGAGCATCTGTTACTGGAATAGGGTATGTTTCAGTTTCGAATCCAAGTTCAATATGTTTGGATCAGATGGTGTTCATTAGGTTAGAAGTCTTAGTGGATAAAGATTGAACCCCAAGTACACTTTGCCCACTGTCAAACAAGGAGGCGGGTCTGTTATGGTTTGGGGGTGCTTTTCGGGGCTTAGGGTGGGACCTTTACATATAATAGATGGCATTATGGATAAGTTTGTATACACAGGCATACTAAAGCATGTCGTGTTACCCTATATGGAAGACAATATGCCC